ACTGTCCATGGTGGACATCACTAACACTGTCCCATGGTGGACATCACTAACACTGTCCCATGGTGGACATCACTAACACTGTCCCATGGTGGACATCACTAACACTGTCCCATGGTGGACAGAAGGATATGTATATATATGTATACATAATAGTTACCATTGTCAATATGTGGCCACGTGTGTGGTGGAAAAGTAAACAACTGCCTCTGTTGCCTGGTAGGCAGGTGGCCCCAGGTGGCCCCAGGTGGCCCCAGGTGGCCCCAGGTGGCCCCAGGTGGCTCCAGGTGGCCCCAGGTGGCTCCAGGTGGCTCCAGGTGGCCCCAGGTGGCCCCAGGTGGCCCCAGGTGGCTCCAGGTGGCCCCAGGTGGCTCCAGGTGGCTCCAGGTGGCCCCAGGTGGCTCCAGGTGGCCCCAGGTGGCCCCAGGTGGCTCCAGGTGGCCCCAGGTGGCTCCAGGTGGCCCCAGGTGGCTCCAGGTGGCCCCAGGTGGCTCCAGGTGGCCCCAGGTGGCTCCAGGTGGCTCCAGGTGGCCCCAGGTGGCTCCAGGTGGCCCCAGGTGGCTCCAGGTGGCCCCAGGTGGCCCCAGGTGGCTCCAGGTGGCTCCGGGCCTCCACACACACACTCACATCCCCAGGAAGCTGCCCGTAGTAGCTGTCTAACTCCTAGGTACCCATTTACTGTTGGGTGAACAGGTGCGCCAGGGTGAAAGAAATTCTGCCTGTTTTTTTCTGCCTCTGCCGGGGGTCGAACCTGGGTCGTTAGGACTACGATCCCAGAGCGCTGTCCATTTAGCCGCGAGGTGTGTGTGTGTAATTACCTAAGTGTATTTACCTAAGTGTATTTATGGGATGAGAGCTACGTGCGTGGTGTCCCGTCTTCCCAGTTCTCTTTATCGTATAACGCTTTAAAACTACTGACGGTTTTGGCCTCCACTACCTTCTCACTTAGCTTGTTCCAACCGTCTACCACTCTGTTTGAAAAATAAAATTTTGTTTTATTTTTTCGGCACCTCTGTTTTCTTAGCTTGAATCTGTGTCATCTGGTTCGTGAAGTTGCTGGTTTCAGGAATTTCTCTTTGTCAATTTGGTCGATTCCTGTTAGTATTTTGTAAGTGAGAATCATATCATCTCTCTTAATTCTGTCTCCTAGTTTCGGCAGGTTTAACGCACCAAGTCTCTCGTAACTCATGTTTTTCAGTTCCGGAAGCCATTATGTAGCATGTTTACGGGCTATTCATGCCCGTGCCACCTTTTGGGTGGCTTAATCTTCATCATCGTAGCATGTCGCTGCACCTTTGCCAGTTCCTTTATGTGCTTCTTGAGATTTGGGCGCCACACAACTGCTGCATATTCCACTTATGGTCTCATAAAAGTCATGAACACTTTCTTTAGTATTTCATCATCCATATAATTAAAAGCAAGTCAGAAGTTGGAAAGCGACACATACGCTCCTCTCACAATGTTCTTTATGTGTTCCTCTGGCGACACATACGCTCCTCTCACAATGTTCTTTATGTGTTCCTCTGGCGACACATACGCTCCTCTCACAATGTTCTTTATGTGTTCCTCTGGCGACACATACGCTCCTCTCACAATGTTCTATATGTGTTCCTCTGGCGACAGCTTACTATCCAAAACCACCCCTTTAGGTCTCGTTCTTTATTATGAGTTCTGTAATTCCTTTCCACATAATTTGTAAGTTGTGTGTGGTCTATTTTCTCCAGTTCCACATTCCATAACATGGCATTTATTCACACTGAATTCCATTTGCCACTTTACGCGCCAAACACTTATTTTTATCTACATCAATTTGAAGAACATTACAATCGTCTGCGCCTCTAATCTTCCCCAGTATCTTAGCATCAGCCGCAAACGTGTTCATAATCCTTCTGTATTCTGTATTCCTTCTGGTAGATCGTTTATGTAGACAATGAACATCACTGGTGCAAGAACTGAGCCCTGTGGTACTCCGCTAGTAACACTCCTCCAGTCAGATACATTGTCTGTAACTACTGCCCTCATCTGTCTGTCAGATAGAAAATTTTTCATCCATGTCAGACGTCTCCCTGTCCCCCCTCCAGCATGTTCCAGTTTCCGGAACAGCCTCTTGTGTGGGACTCTGTCTGAAGCCTTTTTTAGGTACAGAAAGACACAGTCAACCCAACCACCTCTTTCCTGTAGTATCTCTGTGGCTGTATCATAAAAGCTAAGTAGATTTGTTACACAGGATCTTCCTGTTCGAAAACCATACTGTCTGTTATTATGTCATTACTCTCTAGGTGTTCAACCCATTTGGCTTTAACTATTGTTTCTAGTGTTTTGACTACCACGGTTGTTAATGACACGGGCCTATAATTTAGTGGTTCCTCTCGACTACCATTATTATAGATTGGTACTATGTTTGCCTGTTTCCATATATCTGCTAAGATTCCTGTGTACAAGGACGTCTGGAATATTAATTGGAGTGGAATACTCAGCTCAGTTGCACATTCCCTCAGCACCTAAGGTGAAACTCCATCAGGTCCGCTTTATTTCTTCCTAGCCCCATGAGTAATTTTTCCAGTAGGTTTTGAGATACCTTATGTATCAAATCAAATCAAATATCTCAAGATATGTAATCTATGGCGTGTTCTGGATTTGGTATTTGGTCGGACTATCTGAAATCCTTATTTTGTACAAACATACTTTGGAACATTTAGCATTTCACACATTTCTTTTTCATTCTCAGTAGTCCTGTTCCCCGTTCTGAATCTCTTGATTTTAGATTTTACATTCATCTTGCTTTTAATAAGTTTAAAGGAAAGGCCTGGATATGTTTTACATTTGTCTGCTATATCTTTCTCAAATTTCCTTTCTGACTTTCTCCTCACTGTTGTGTAATTGTTTATTGCTTGTTTGTAATGCTGGTATGTTTGCGGGTTAGCCCTCTTTCTAAATTGAACCTATTTTCCAGTCTTATCCTCTCTGGCCCTCTCACAATTTCTGTTGAACCAATCCTCTTTCTGGTCCTACATGTCTGTTTTGGTCTGAATGTTTATGCGCCTTCATTGTAAATTTGTCAAAATTTGCCATACATCTCATTTACTTCTTTGCCTAGCAACAAGTCTGTCCAATTAAACTCATTAAAGAATTTTCTAAATTCCCCATAGTGTCCTCTATTGAAATCAAACTTATCAACTGTTTCAATGTTCCCATCTTTGCTAGATTATATTGCAAAGCATATTTAATTTCCTACAGGACATGATCACTATTTTCCAAAGGGGGGAAGGTACTGGATGTCAAATATTTCTTCTTCTTTTCTGGTGAATTTTAGATCCAGTACTGATGGACCATCCCCTTCCCTCATTCTTGTGGCCTGCTTGATGTGTTGATACATGAATGCCTCCAGAATGAGGTTTACAAATCTACTTGTCCAAATGTCCTCCGTTCTTGAAATAGACCTCTCAGTCTATTGCTTTCAAGTTGAAGTTCCCCAGTACCAACAATCGTGACTTATCTGTATCTGTCCTTACTACAATCTCTCTCATTACCATTATGAGGCCCCTCTCATTTGTCATCCAGTTCCTCCTTTGTCCATGTGTTGCTTGCTGGTGGGCTGTAGGCATTTATGATTATCAGTTTATCATCCTGATTCCACACCTGCAATGCCAATATATCAACATCTCGAGGGTTTTCGATTATTAACTCTCTAACCTTCAGGTGTTCTTTCACCAGTACAGCCACTCCTTCCCCCCTTCCTAGTTTTCCTGTCACGTCTCCAAACTGAGAAGACCCTTGGGAATACGACCTCATTTAAAATATTTTCTTCAAGTTTTGTCTCTGTTAGTGCAACAATATCTGGGATATTAATGAATAATATATCTCTTAGTTCCAGGATTTTTTTTTATCTCACTCCATCTATGTTGGTATATATATAATTTTCAAGAACATGTTCCCATTCCCTTTGTCCTCTACTTCCTTGTCCTCTAATGATTTTGTTGCTTGGTTTTAAGTACCATTTCACTAGCTTTCCGGACCCAAACACTTTGAAGAAAAGTAATTTCTTTCTTCTTCATTTTTATTCCCATATAGACATTAAACTTCATCAAGGTTTGTTTTCAGCTTTTCTCAATCTTCCTTTGAGAGGTCTTTTCTTATTGACCAAAGTTTGCCATCCTCAACACTCTGCAAATTTCCTGGCATTGTTAAACACTTTCGTCATGTGCTTCACTCCTTAAATGTCACCCTTAAGGGGCGGTTCTTGTCTTTCTCATATTTTCCTATCCTCCTAAAATCACTGACATTTTCCTTTGATTTGAGGCCTTCTCCTAAACCTACTATTTTCTCTATGATTTTCTTTTCTTCTGCTGCTCTGTCCACCCCAGATGGTATCTCCTTTTCTAAACACCCAAAAATTATTATGGACTTACTTCTATCTGCAGTATTTTGTACTTATTTACTGTTGGTAACCAGTTCTTTCCTAATTGCTTGCCTAATTTCTGCTTCTTGTTGAACACACTTCCTTGATAGTCTCTTTCTCTTTTACTTCTTGTGCATAGTTCTCTTTAAATTCCTCTTTGTATTTTGCAAGTTCTTTATTAACCTCCTGTATGTGAGTTGTCCATGAAGTTCCTCCTTACATATCCTTGCCTAATTCCATGTTGGCCTTAAGGATTTGTAGTAAAAATGTGTCTATTGTATCGGAGGTGAGCTGTATTTGTGTCAGATGGATGCTCGCTTGATTGTTATTGTTTGGGGGCCGGCAGATCGGCTGTGTCTTGCATGAGTTAAGGTCCGTGGAGGTGTGCTCCTCTAATTTCTGTTGCCCTAGCTTTAGTCATATGCTGTTTGTTTGTTGTTATAGTGAATATACAGTGCTTGGAATATATGTGTGTTGTTTATTACATGGCTTGTTTTTGTTGCAGGATGTAACTGTACTGTAATTGTTTGATCAATACAGCCACAAGTCTGACAGATCGATTGTTTTACCTCAATTTATTGATCAAACAATTCAGTCAGTGAACATGGAGCGGTTCCTACGGCCCGAGCAGTTTGTTACTGACCCAAACTCCACCAATACCTCTCAAAAATGGCGTCACTGGCTCAAAACCTTCAACAACTTCTCTCTAGCTGTTCAACAAACTACTCCCACCGTGGACATGCTGGGTCTCCTGATAAACTACGATGCTCCACGTGTGTTCGACTACATAGCTGACTGTACTACGTATGACGCGGCTGAAAAATCCCTAACAGAACTGTTTGTGAAGCCCAAGAATAAAGTATTCGCAAAGTATGTGGTTGCAACACGACGCCAAAACTTGGTGAGTCGCTTAACCAGTTTCTTCAGGCATTGAAATTATTACCTAAAGATTGTCATATCAAAGCCGCGACTGCTGTAGAAGCCTGTGATAATTATGTGAGAGATGCTTTCATTAATGGACTAGGTTCTGCCACAATAAGGCAGCGCTTACTTGAAAATAAAACTTTAGATTTACAGTCAGCCTTTGACCAGACTCATCCTCAAGAAACGGTACAGAAACTTTCTGCCTCTTATGCTCAGCCAGGGGCTACAAACGCTGCCATGACACTCTCATTAGACCTGGAGGACTCAGGAGGACAAGAAAGTGTAGACAAAAAAGTAGACCAAGTTTCTGCAGCTACAACTAGTGGTTTAAAGTGCTTCTTGTGTGATCACACTCGACATCCTCACAGTCGATGTCCAGCTAGAGAGGCTGTGTGTATGAAGTGCAAGAAAAAGGGTCATTATGCTAAGGTCTGCCGATCTCTGAAACAGACTAACAGCGCTTCAAACACCCAACATTCCGCTGCTATGCTCACTACTTTAGCTGGGACTTCACCCTCATGTCTCAATAAATCAGTTCTTACCTCTAAGATCAATGTTATTCCAGTCAGTGCTCTGATTGACACTGGCAGCTCTGAGAACGTTATTCATAAGAATATTGCCGAGCAGACTGGGTTACTCGTCTACCCTGACACTGGGGCAGTTTCTATGGCTAATGTATCGTTCTCTTCAAAATTCCTGGGTCAGTGTTCTGTAGACTTGTAGCTGCAAAGAGAAACTTACCAGAGTGTGAATCTCAAAGTGTTACCTGAAATGTGTGTCGACGTGATTTTGGGCCATAAATTTTAACAAAATCATTCCATGCTCGAGATGGCTTTTGGAGGAGAAAGACCTCCCCTTAGAATATGTGGATTAGCTGCCGTCAAAGTACCTGCTTCATCGCTCTTCAGTAATTTAACACCAGACTGCAAGCCGATTACTGTAAAATCCAGACGTTATTCTGAGGCTGACAAGTTGTTTATTGAATCTGAGACCGCTCGGATGCTACGTGAAGAGATAATTAGACCCAGTCATTCTCCATGGAGAGCCCACGTATTAGTACTAAAGGAGAAAACCACAGGAAAAGAATGGTTGTAGATTATTCACAAACAATTAATCGATTCACGGGTCTGGATGCCTACCTCTTACCACATATAGATGAGATTGTGAATAATGTTGCTAGGTTTAAAGTATACAGCACGCTAGACTTGAGAAGTGCTTACCATCAAGTGGGGTCTAATAGAGGAAGAAAAACACTATACAGCCTTTGAAGCTTATGGAAAGTTTTTTGAATTTAAGCATATCCCTTTTGGGGTCACTAATGGAGTGGCCAGTTTTGAAAGAGGAATTGATGGCATCCTCGAAAAAGAAGGAGTGGAGGGCACCTTCGCTTATGTAGATGATGTCTGTGTGTGTGGGGATTCTGAGGAAGACCATGATAAAAATCTGAAACATTTTATGGACGTTGCAAGAAGGTATAACCTGACCCTGAATCCTGGAAAGTGTAATTTTCGTCTCCGGTCTATAAAGTTATTGTGATACCTTATACAAGAAGGAGAAATTAGACCTGACCCAGAACGCCTCGAACCACTGTTAAGATTTCCATTACCAAGCAACACAGGTTCTTTACGCAGAACAATGGGAATGCTTGCACATTACTCCCGTTGGGTGCTGGGCTTTTCTGAGAAGATCCGTCCTCTCTCTCATGCCAATGGTTTTCCCTTATCTGCTGCCGCTGCGAAAGCTTTTGAAGGATTGAAACAAGACATTGCTGAGGCAGTGGTTCGAGCAATCAAGCCAACAGCTCCTCTCACTGTGGAAACCGATGCTTCAAATCATGCTATTGCCGCTACCCTAACCCAGAATGAACAACCAGTAGCTCTCTTCTCCCGAACACTTTCAAATAGTGAACAAAGGCACTCATCAGTGGAGAAGGAAGCTCATGCCATTGTGACAGCTCTAAGGAAGTGGCGACACTTTCTCATTGGACGCCATTTTCGGCTTGTAACTGACCAGCGTACCATTGCTTTTATGTTTTACTCTAAATCAGCTGGTAAGATTAATAATGATAAAATTGCTAGATGGCGAGTCGAACTCTCCTGTTACCACTATGACATTGTACATCGCCCTGGTAAACAGAACATATCCGCTGATGCATTCTCACGTGTATGTGGTGACACCAGTGTGGATGTACTTAAGGAATTACATGACAATCTGTGTCACCCTGGAGTGTCTCGTATGGCTCATTTTGTCCGATGTCGAAATCTGCCTTATTCTGTGGAAGAAGTGAAGAAGATGACTAATTCTTGCTCTGCGTGCTCTGAACTTAAACCTCGGTTTTGCAAGTTTGACTCCGGGCATTTGATTAAAGCTACTCAGCCATTCGAAACACTCGCCATTAATTTTAAGGGACTACTTCCACCACAATCAAGGAAGTAAATAATTATCAAAAGAAGGCACCAAACCGGGAAGGCTACGTAGCACCACCAAATGTGTAAAGTAATCAGAGGGCGCTAAATATCACCAAGGATGCTAATACGAGAACAGAAACGCATAAGGCATAAAAGTATTTGATTCACTTCCTGGAAATCAGGACATTCAACAAGGATGTGCATGACCGTAAGAGGGACAATGTAATTTGGAAAATAAGGAGCAGGGTGGTGCTCCATTAAGTGACCGTGAGTTAAACGGGTATGGCCAATACGTAACCTAGCCAGAGCCGTTTCCCACCGCCGGTTACGGTGGTAGGAGGAAGGCCACTGGGACACACGACTCTTAAGAGTACGCAGTTTGTTACTAATAACAGAAGACCAACAACTCTGCCAGCGGGCAAGGATGGAGGCATGAATAACTGGGTAAAAGTCAGAATAAGGAATACCTTTACAGGAGATGGGACAAGCGCGGATAGCTTCCTTAGCGGCAGCATCCGCACGCTCATTTAAAGAGACACCAACATGGTTGAGAACCCAGCAAAATGCAACCGACTTAAATTTACTGGAGATAAGAAACAGCCAATGTTGAATCTCGATGACCACCGAGTGGACCGGATTGAAGGACCCTAAAGCCATGAGGGCACTACGAGAGTCAACTACCACCACAAAGGAGGATTGACACCGGGAAAGCAGGAGACAAAGAGCATAGAGAATAGCATAGAGTCCTGCTGTGAAGATGCTAGCCTCCGGAGGAAGGCGACACATATAAGTGTGGTCAGGAAAAACAACAGAGTAGCCCACACCGTCAGCAGACTTAGACCCATCGGTGAAGATGGGAACGGAGTGGGAGTGAGAAGAAAAGTGCTCAAGGAAGAGCGTTTCAGAACTGTAGGAGGGGTAAAAGCTTTAGTGATGCGGGTCAGAGAAGTACAAAATTTGGGAAGGGGGACCCTCCACGGGGGCAAGGAGGGAACAATACGTGGAGAAACATTGGTAATACGAACCGAAAGAGAATCTTGTAAGCGAGACAAATGGACAGAAAGAGGAAGGTGGTGAAGAGGAACAGGAACTACAGGAGGGGTAAAAGTCAAAGCACGATAGAGGCGAGTGTGAGGATTAAGGATCGCGCAAGATAGCGAAGACTGTAGCGATCACGGCAGTCCTGGAGAGACAGAAAGCCAGTGTCAGCGTACAAGCTGAGGGCAAGAGTTGAACGAAAAGCATCAGAGTTGAGGCGCAACCCAGTATGGTGCAAAGGATCAACACGGCGAAGAGTAGAAGGAGAAACAGAAGAGTATGCAGGGCAACCATAATCGAGTTTAGACAGGACAAGTGAGATATGCAAATGGAACGCTAAATCCTTCAACAATACAGGAGACCCTTTGGCGATCTGGAAGGACCCGCAGTATCCCAACGCATCTTCGAGACTATGTCACTAAAACGCAAGGTGGGGTGAATGTAGTAAAAATGTGTCTATTGTAGCGGAATGGAGCTGTAGTTGTGCCAGATGGATGCTCGCTTGATTGTTATTGTTTAGGGCCTGGCAGATCGGCTGTGTCTTGCATGAGTCCGTGGAGGTGTGCTCCTCTAATGAACAAATCCACAAGGACCGTGACGAGGATTCGAACCTACGTCTGGGAGCATCCCAGACGCTGCCTTAATCGACTGAGCAACGACATTGTAAAGATAACTTTATCTTTTACCATGTCGTAGCTCAGTTGATTAAGGCAGCATCTGTGATGCTCTCGGACGCAGGTTCGAATCCTCGTCACGGCCCTTGAGGATTTGTTCATTTGATGCATCACGCTATTGTGATTTCTGTGTGTAGTGTGCTCCTCTAATTTCTGTTGCCCTAGCTTTAGTCATATGCTGTTTGTTCGTGGTTATAGTGAATATAAAGTGCTATCAATGTAACCACACACCCCTCAACCTGTTCCCAATACTTAGGTAAATTGATATTCATGACTCCTGGCGCTGCTATATGTACTCATCTAGTTGTGCTTGTGGGGGTTGAGCTCTGGCTCTTTGGTCCCGCCTCTCAACCGTCAATCAACAGGTGTACAGGTTCCTGAGCCTATTGGGCTCTATCATATCTACACTTGAAACTGTGTATGGAGTCAGCCTCCACCACATCACTTCCTAATGCATTCCATTTGTCAACCACTCTGACACTAAAAAAGTTTTTTTTTAATATATCTGTGGCTCATTTGGGCACTCAGTTTCCACCTGTGTCCCCTAGTGCTTGTGCCTCTTGTGTTAAATAGCCTGTCTTTATTTACCCTATCAATTTCTTTGAGAATCTTTTATGTAGTGATCATGTCCCATCTAACTCTTCTGTCTTCCAGCGAAGTGAGGTTTAATTCCCGTAGTCTCTCCTCGTAGCTCATACCTCTCAGCTCGGGTACTAGTCTGGTGGCAAACCTTTGAACCTTTTCCAGTTTAGTCTTATCCTTGACTAGATATGGACTCCATGCTGGGGCTGCATCCTCCAGGATTGGTCTGACATATGTGGTATACAAAGTTCTGAATGATTCCTTACACAAGTTTCTAAATGCCGTTCTTATGTTGGCCAACCTGGCATATGCCTCTGATGTTATCCTCTTGATGATGATGATTATCTTCTTGCTGCAGGAGACAGGTCTGGCATGATATCAACCCCCAGGTCTTTCTCTCTCTCTGACGCTTGAATAATTTCATCTCCCAAATGATACCTTGTATCTGGCCTCCGGCTTCCTATCCTACCTATCTTCATTACATTACATTTGTTCAGGTTAAACTCTAACAACCATTTGTTGGACCATTCCTTCAGTTTGTACTGGTCTTCTTGAAGCCACAGGCTTCCCTCCTCTGTCCCAAATTCTTCTCATAATTTTGCTGTCATCAGCAAACATTGAGAGGAAAGAGTCTATATCCTCTGGGAGATCATTTACGTATATCAGAAACAGGATATGTCCGAGTACAGAGCCTGTGAGACTCCACTGGTGACTTCACGACAATCTGAGGTCTCACCCCTCACTGTAACTCTCTGCTTCCTATTGCTTAGATACTCCCTTATCCACTGGAGCACCTTGCCAGTTACACTTGCCTGTTTCTCCAGCTTATGCACCAGCCTCTTATGTGGTACTGTGTCAAAGGCTTTCCGACAGTCCTCGATGATAAAGTCTGCCCAGCCTTCTCGTGCTTGCTTAGTCTTTGCCACCTGGTCGTAGAATTCTATTAAGCCTGCAAGGCAAGATTTACCCTCCCTGAACCCATGTTGGTGGTGGGTCACGAGGTCCTATCTCTCCAGATGTG